CCTCTCAGCCCTGGGATCACAATCACCCCATTAAAAAAATTTTTTTTGAATTCTCCAGTACCAAAAAAACCAAAACAAAACACATTTTTTTTGAGACAGGGTCTCATTATGTAGCCCAGGCTGGCCTTGAACTCGAGGGAATCTTCCTGCCTCAGCCTCCTGAGTGCTGGGACCACAGCATGTGCCACTACCGCCTGGCCAGAATCACCCCGTTTCACAGGGAGGGAAGCTGAGGCTCAGTGCAGGGGGAGATCGCTCACCAGAGGCCACATAGCTTCGGGCCGAGGATGTGACTTGGTCCCTGAGCCCCCCACCTGCTGCCACCTGTCCTGGCCCCAAAGCCACTAGGCACACCCCGCGGCCATGTCCCACCAGCAGTGGCCACCTGGACCCCTGCAGGGCCACCCCCGCTGCTCCCTGGCGTGAGAAGGAGGCCTGGGGACTCCCTCCCTCCCTCCCTCCCTCCCGGGGCCAGGAAAGAGATCCAGAAAGTGAATAAGCCTGTACTGAGCACTCTCTGTATGCTTTCTGGGGATCACCGACTCCAGGCCATGGTGCAAGTACACACAGTTCTCATTCCAGGACCAGAGAGGGCAGGGTTCTACCCATGCTCACACAGCATGGCCCCAAGCCTGGTCCCCATTCCTGAGTTCGTCCGCGCTGCGTTCGGGGGACCTGGCTGCTTCTTATTATCGCTGTGCTGTGGGTATGTTTGGCTTCTGTCAGATAACCAGAAATGAGCTTTTCTGTTCGGGTTTTTGAAAGGGGTTTCAGTCCTTTTGTTTTTTTGTGGTCCTGAGAATGGAACTCAGGAACTCTCTACCACTGAACTCTGCTCTCAGCCCTTTTTATTTTGAGACAAGGTCTTGCTAAGCCACTTAGTTGCCCAGGCTGGCCTCACACTTGTGATCCTCCTGCCTCAGCCTCCCGAGTCACCGGGATGGCAGGCATGCACCACCATGTTTGGCATCAATACTTTTTTTTTGAGACAGGGTCTCACTATGTACTCCAGGCTGGCCTTGAACTCACAGCGATCCTCCTGCCTCAGCCTCTCGACTTTTTATAAGACCCCTGGGTTCTTGTTCCAGCTCTGCCTCTTAAGAGTTGTGTGATGGAGCTAGGGATTTAGCTCAATGGTGCCGACACCTGCCTCCCAAGCACAAGGTCCTGAGTTCAATCCCCAGTACCGAAATAAAAAGAGTTGGGTGACCTCAGGCAAGTGGCTGACCGCCTCTGAGCCTGTGCTTCCATGTAAACCTGGGAGAAAGTGAGAGTCCCTGCCTCTAGGATGGAGAGAGATAGAAACGGTCGGTCAGGATGTACAATCCGGATGGGGTTCGGCTCAGAGGTGAGCGCCTGCCTAGCACGCAGGAGGCCCTGGGTTCCATCCCCAGCACCGCAAGTAAATAAAAATAAAAAGAAGAGCAGGGCTGGGGCCCCATGTCCACCGTAACCGTGATCCTTGTGGGCGTCACTGCGCCCCATCCTGCCCAGGCGGGTGGACCCTGCCCGTTCTCCCGCCACCCTCTGGGGCCCACTGCACCATGGCGGCTGGCACGGCCGAGGCGGGAACAGGAGGGAGGGAGGCCGGCCCAGGGCGGCGGCATCAGCACATGGGCACCATCTGGGCTGGCAGCTGCCGGGGCGGGCGGACCAGGCAGCCCCTCCCCCACTGCCCTGGCACGGCGCCTGCCCGCGCTCGAGTCGGGTTTCTCTGGCTGCCAGAGGGGGCGGGGAGGCTGGCTGGGGCTCAGGCCCTGGGCCTAACTTCCCAGGCTGCTTCCCAAAGCCAGGCAGGGCAGGCAGCGCCAGGCTCACCCTCTCCCGGCCCCACAGCCCCGCATGAGGCACTTCCTGTGGGGGTGAGCTCTGGTCTCAGGCAGCCCCAGGCCCTTTGCACAGGCTGCACCCCTACCTGGCCCAGCAGAGGCTCACTTCTCCCTCTCCACCAGGGCTCCTTGGTGCCCTTCAGGCCTCATCTCCAGTCACCTCTCCAGGAGGCCTGCACCATCCGGAGTGCTTCCCAGACCCTCCACAACTGTCTCCTCCTTTCTGCCTGATGTTAAATCTATTCTTTTTTTTCCAGTACTGGAGATTGAACCCAGGGCCTTTGCACTGAGCTCCATCCCCAGCCCTGTTTTTTTTTTTATTTTTTTATTTTGAGGCAGGGTCTCACTAAGTCACTAAGTTGCCCAGGCTGGGATGGAACTTGCTATCCTCCTGCCTCAGCCTCCCAGAGTGCTGGGATCACAGGTGTGTCCGGCTTCTCTCCCACTCCCAGGGTGAGTGATCCCTACTATTCACCCTTGTTGTCTGTCTTGCTCCTAACGCTGGCTGAGCACAATGCCCCCTTTGGCTGTGTGGCAGGTGCTCCCAACAGCAAGCCCGTGTCCCCACAAGGGACCAGGCTCCACCACACCCGCCCATCCGCCCATGGTCATGGCCCCCAGCGGGGCTGACTGAAGCTGACACCGCACCCTCCCTGCTCAGACTCACAGCTAACAGGGCTGGGAACAGCAAAAGAGCCCTGGCCCAGGTTTCAGGGCTCAGTGGGGGTACTGGGCATGGCCTTGGGGGGGGGCCTTACACTCCACAGAGCCCAAAGTCCACCTGTCCTCTCCCACCACGACTCCCCGATTCCCTTCTGCTTCGAGGGTAAGGACAGGGGTGGGGGGCAGTGACAAGGGCAGAGGCCACCTAAGTCCAAGCCCCACCCTGACCCCTCTCAACCTTAGGGATTCAGGCAGATCAAACCCCCACCTTGGGCCTCTGTTTCCCCCTCTGTAAAATGGGTACAACACAGCTCCTGCCTCACTGGGCTGCTGTGAGAACAGAAAAGAACTGATAATGGGGCTGGGGATTTAGCTCAGTGGTTCCAGCGCCTGCCTTGAAAGCACAAGGACCCAAGTTCAATCCCCGGTACCAAAAAAAAAAAAAGAACTGATAAGACCTCAGAAAAATGCCTGGCAGATAATAGAGTTAGGACCTGGGTTTTTTTGTTTTTGTAAACACAATATACCTATTTTGTGTTTATTACCATTGGCTTTCTTCTTAAGAATATTTGTTTCAGTAACTGAAATTTTACTCATTCTATTTCTTTCCCCGCTTTTGCACTTTGGCAAGGAGTGGAAAGGTTAAGAAACCAGTTAGTCTTTCAAGGGGCATTTATTGAGCATCTACTATATGCAAGGTGTCGTCTTAAAGGTTTGGAGGGCGTCAGTCCAAGAAGACGCATTAAAAGATATCTATGAGTCACCTGCTTCATACAAGGCACTCAGAGAGATGTTAAGAGGACCACTAAATGGACTGGGCTGGGTGAGGTGGAACACGCCTGTAATACTAATACCAGCTACTCCACAGGGTGAAGCAGGAGGGTCACAAGTTCAAGGCCAGCCTGGGCTACACAGCGAGACCCTATCCCAAAACAAAAACTAAAAAGAGCTGTGGATGTAGAGGACCTGGGGTTTTGATGTATAAGTAGGAGCTTTCCAAATGGGAAAGGTGTTCCAGGCCAGGGAACAGCATGAGCAAAGGAAACCATAATCCTATGAATATAACAATGCTAGAAACAAAAAATGGTCTTTTCAACCCATGAAGCCTGTTTCCTGAGCCTTATCATAGCCACCTAACATCCCCACAGTGGCTGGGTTTTGTTTGTTTGTTTTGTTTTTCAGTGCTGGAGAAGGAGCTTAGGGCCTCACGCATGGTAGGCAACCCCACAGAGCTACAACCCCAGCCCTTTCCCTCCCTCCTTCCTTCAGTCTTTCTTTCTTCCTTCTTTCCTTCTTTCTTTCGAGACAGGGTCTTGCCATGTAGTTCAGGCTGTCCTTGAACTCACTGCGTAGCCAGCCCAGGCTGGGCTCAAACTCCCAGCGATCCTCCTGCCTCAGCCTCCCGAGTGCTGGGATGACAGGTGTGTGCCACCCCTGCCTTCCTTCTTCCTGTATTGGTGATGGAACTCGAGGTCTTCCGTCCCCAGCCCTTTTTATTCTGGGACAGGGTCCCACTAAATCATTAAATTCTCCAGGCAGGGCTCCAATTTTCCATTCTCCTGCCTCAGCCTCCCTGAGTCCCTGGGCTTACAGACCTGTCACTGTACCCAGCTGCAGGCTGTTTCCCAACTTCTTATTTTACCAGGGAGAAAACAAGGCCCAAAGAGGGTCGAGAGGTCCCCGGGATCACGCAAGCAGGCCCGGGGATCCAGGAGCGGGCGCCCACAATGCCAATGGAACAGTCAGTCCCGGCTCCCCGGGGCCCTGGGGGACTGGAGGCCCGGCGGGTGGCAGCCTTGACCTTCCTGGCCCTGGGGGAGGAGGCTGGGCAGCGGGCAGCTGGGCTCGAAGGTGTCGCCAGGCCGAGGCCCGGCTGCTGCCGGCGCGGGGGAGGGGCGGCCAGAGGATTGTGCTGACTGCGCAGAAACCGCGCACAATTTTATCAGCTCAGCCGCGGGTGGGGGCGGGGCGGGGCGCGCGGAGGAAACGCTGCCCCCACCCCGCCCCCACCCGGTCACCTTGCCCGCGCCGCTGCTGCTTCGCGGGCGGGGGGGGGGGCAGAGGTCAAGGTCAGCGGGCCAAGGTCACGACTGGGTGACCGCGGCTCCCTCCAGGCACAGCTGGCAGGCGAGAGCCCATGGGGGTTCTGGTCGGCGGGTCGCCCTGGACGCCGCGGGGCTGCTGAAGGCCACGGAGGGAACCGAGGCGCGGAAGACACGGACGGCGCCTGCAGGCCGGGCCCGGTTACCCGCCACTTCGCGGGGGGGAAACTGAGGCCTGGGAGGAAGTCACGGGACAGCGGCGAGCTCGTGTCCATCAAGGCCCGGCCAGCGCCTCGTCCGGGGGAAGCCACCCGCGGGGGCCCGGCCTCCCCGCTGCTGACCCCGACCGAGGCTGAGGCGCCGCCCCAGGCCCTGGGGTCACCGTGGGCCCCCGGCCCCCGCTGGCCTCGCGTCTCTGGCCCGGCCCCCGCCGCCCACTGGCTCCCGACCGGACCCGGCCGCTCACCTCGCTCGCGCACGAAGTAGGCCAGGTAGAGGTCCAGCTCCTTGACGGCCACGCCGATGTGGTGCGGCTGCACGCAGAGCACCGGGTGGCCGCACTGCGCAGCCTTCACCAGCCGCTCGCCGTCCGTGCTCTCGAGCGGGATGCCCTTGAACAGGATGACCATGACCAGGTCGAGGCGCCACACCTTGTCGGCCTGGCGCAGGCAGTCGATGCGCCGCATCTTGCCCTTCTGGTCGGGGTTGGACAGCACGCAGCCCGGCGCCTTCTTGCCCGTGATGGCCAGCACGAAGTCCTCGCGGCACTCGGGCCGGATGTCCTTGCGCAGCTTGGCCAGCAGCCGCGACGCCCACTTCTGCTTCACCTCGGCCTTCTCGCCCAGCAGCTCGTCCTTCACGGCCCGCTCCTCGTCCTTGGACATCCGCTTCTCATGCTTCTTGAAGTACTTACGCTTCCGCGCCTGCAGGTTGAACCAGGTGTAGGCGAAGGCGCGCACATGCGGCAGCAGCGCCTCGATGAACGGGTGGAACTCATCCTGCGGGCGACAGGCCAAGGTCACTGCGGGGAAACTGAGGCGGGGGCGCGGGCGAGGCCGGGTTCCCCGGGGCTTCTGGGACCCCAGAAACACACGAGCGACCTAAGGTCCCTGCGCCCGGAGACCTGAACCACAGACGGGACGGCGGGCAATGTCTCGGCCCCTTCTGGGCCTGCTGGAGCTGGGGTCTAGGCACTTTCTCATAAAGGACCAGAAACAGCCATGCAGCGTCTGTCTGCAACTGTTCAGCTCTGTGGTTCTTCCAGTACTAGGAGTGACCCCAGGACCTTTGTACTGAGCTGCATCCCTAGCCCTTTTTATTTTTTAATTTATTATTATTATCATCAGTATTTTGCAGTACTAGGGATGGAACCCAGGGCCTTCACACTGAGCTCCATCCCCAGCCCTTTCTATTTTTTATTTTGAGGTAGGGTCTCCCTAAGTCACTAAGTTGCCCAGGCCGGCCTGGGACTTTCGATCTTCCTGCCTCAGCCTCCCAGGGTGCTGGGTTGACCAGCGTGCACCACTGCACCCAATTTCAACTCTTATATTTTGCTGCAAAATGACCCACAGATGAGAGGAACAGGACAGGTGTGGCCACAGCTCAGTAAAGTTTTATTTACAGAAACAGATGCCAGGCATTCACCCTGGACTGTAGTTTGAAAACCTCTGTCATGGCCCGGGAGCTACAGAGTCCCCAGATGCCTAGAAGGGTCATGCAAAGGGTTGGAGCTCAATGCCTGCAGGAGGAAGTGGGCTCGGAGAACAATATCCAGGTCTGGTCTCCGGCCCTGTGCCAGGCAGGCAGCAGTGAGGCCGGGGTGGGGGGGTGAGAGGTCCAGAGCTGGGTTTGCAGCCCACACTACTGTGACTTCCTAATAAAAAACAGCCACAGGCCAGGTGCAGTGGCACACACCTGTAATGCCAGCACTCGGGAGGCTGGGGCAGGAGGATCACTCTGAGTTCAAGGCCAGCCTGAGCTACGTAGTGAGACCTTGTCTTTAAAAAAAAATAGCAAAGGTCTTGTTATGTTGCACAGGCTGGGCTGGAAGTTGCAATCCCCCTGCCCCAGCCTCTCAAGTGCTGGGATGACAGGCCTGTGCCTCCACACCTGGTCAGCAATGCTATTATTTTTCACTATTTTTGGCATATTGTCCTGGTTATTCTGGTTGCTTATGATCTTCCAGGAAGCAGGAAAGGCCCCCAAAACTCTGCTACCTCACATATAATGGGGAAACGGAGGCTTAAAAAGGGGCCGAGACCTGACCAAGATCCCACAGGGTTTCAAGGCCAGTGTGAGGAGGAGAACTAGGACCTTCGTGGTGGTGGTGAACACCTGTCATCCCAGCACAAAGGGAGGCTGAGACAGGAGGATCCCAAGTTCAAGTTGAGCTTTTGCAATTTAGCAGCTTAGCAAGACCCAGTCTCAAATAAAAAAGCCCAGGATGCAGCTCAGTGCTAAGTCCCTGGGTTCAGTCCCCTGTACTGCAAAAACAAAAAACAAGAAACAAAAATCCAGCATCTTGACCCTCTATACGGCTGTCAACCCCTGTCCCCAAACAGCCTGTCCTCTCTGGGGTCATGGGACACAGGGCTCGGCCCCCCCAGGCCCCTAGCTCAATTTCCAGCAAGCTCAGTGCCACTTCTAGGCCCAGCTGCACTGGGTGCCCTGCCAGCACCCTCCCCGAGCCACCTCCGGCCCTGGGTGCTGGGGAAGAGGGACATCAGGTTTCACCTCTTACCACGGGTCTGAAAATAGCCTCCTGCCCCAAGACCAGGGCCCGGCGTGGCGTGTGAATCACCGGAACAGCTGTGGGGGCACTGGACCCCAGCCTTCCCTGCTGCCCTCTGCCCAGGACCCTCTCCCATCCCCGTCCCCACCTGGCTGCCTTCCCTGGCCTGGATGCCAGTTGACACAGGGAGCGATTTGTCCCGATTTGTCCCGGGCACATGGGTGCCTGCCTGGCAGAGATGGGAACGGAGCCCAGACCACCTGGCCCAGCAGCCACAGGGGGAGGGGACAGCAAGACGAGGTGAGGGATCAACAGTGGCCAGAGTCACTGCCTCTGGGCCGGGTGGGTAGGTGGCCAGGAGCACAGTGACATGGGCTGTGGCTGCCACCCATGCTGGGGCTCGCTGGGGACATCAGCGGGGCTGGAAGGGGCAGCTGGGGTGGGGAAGGGGGAGGCAATTACCCCTCCTCTCCCTGGCCCCACCCCTTCTCCAAGCCCTCCCCTTCCTCTTAGCTCCTCCCCTTCCCCAAGCCCCTCTCCCTCCCACAGAAGTGCCAGAGAGGCAGGCAGGGGCGGGAGCCCACGTCACTGATGACCACGATGGGTCAGTCATGGAGGCAGGAAGACAAACAGCCTGTAACTGGGTCATGGACCTGCTGCCTGGTCCACCTTTGTCCTCCCCTAGGAGGTCAGACCAGGTGAGATGAAGAGTCTGTCCCTTTCTTTGTCCCACAAGACCTGTAATAGCCAGGGTCTATTTCCCAGGCACCTCCCAGTGCCCTCATAGGCAGAACTGGACAAAGGAGACACGCTGCTGAGCATTTCCCCAAACTCCTACACATTCCTCAATGCCCTTTCCCCCAATCCCCCCCTTCCTGTTCTCCCCAGAGTTTGCCCTAAACCAAGCCTAGACCACAAAGAACAGGGATCTCTGAGACCTGCTCTGTCATCCTGCTGAACTGTGTTCCTCTTTGTGCCTCCCCATGGCCCAGGGTAGCAAACCAGAATCTGAAACTGCTCTTCCCAGTCCCAAAGGTAAGCAATCCAACAGTCCCTAGTAAACACCAAATCCACCTCTGCTCATGTGAAACACCTATGCATCCATCAAAGCCTTCATCCCAATGCCCCCTTCTCCAAGCTGGAAGAGCACACACAGCTAGTGAGCAACACAGCTCATATTCACACCCAGGCCCATCTAGCATCACAGTTGCAAACATGGGTAATTCCTTCCCCCCAAGTCAAAGCTTGAGATACCTCTCATCTTGCCCTGTGAGCCAAAGATTTACTTGGTCATTCAGTAAACACACTGAGTGCCTGCTGTGTGGCAGCCTCAAGCACGGTGCCAGGGATCTGGCTGAGACCAGGGTCCCGCCTTCACTGGGTCTTATCTGGGGTGGATGTAAAACAGATCTGCAGATAGGTGATTCGATGTGTTGCTGAGTAGAGAACTCTGAAGGCACTGAGTGGAGTTTAGGGGCCAGGGGCCCTGGGGGCTCCTGTCTTAGTTGAGACTGCCAGGGAGGTCTCTTGTGGAAGGGGACACGTGGATAAGACCTGGAAGCTGACAGTCCCAGTGAAGACCTTTCCAGGGACAGAACCCGAGTAAAGGCCCTGGGGCCACAGGGATCCCAGTGGTGCAGGAGCAGCCAGAGCATGGGGTGGAGACAGGAGGATGCTGAGTCTCTCCGGGGTTCACAGTGTGCAACACAGGCACTGTCACTGCACCTGCGCTCAGGGGAAGCCACCAAGGCCCCACACTCCAGATCCCCCTGGGACCCCTTCCTCTCGCTTGGGGTCCTGCCCTGATACCCTATGTCCTGGCAGGACTCCCAACCCTGCACCCGCATGGATTTTATATTTTACTCACTGCTACATCTCCAGCATTCAGACCAGTCAGGAGACAATGCCGTGACCCCTCATCCCTGCACCCCAACTTACAACGATGTCCCCCCGGGTCTGGCCAGGCTCAGGAGGACCCTGCGCAGGGCTGGGCAGGAAGAGCCTTTTGTTTTCAGCACACTTGGGGTAGAACCAGGGCCTTCGCACTGAGCTCCATCCCCAGCCCCTTTTTATCCTGAGAGGTCTCACTAAATCACTAAGTTCCCCAGGCTGGGTTCAAACTTGTGATCCTCCTGCCTCAGCCTCCTAGAGTGCTAAGACGGGTGTGCCACTGCACTAGCCACAGCCAGGATCTTCTGGCTACTATCAGTCTGTCCAAAGCCCAGTTCACACGCGGTAGTGACAGGATGACGTTGGAAACACCCAAGAGATGTTTAACACAGCTATTAGTCTATCGATGACTGCCATTGCAGTAGCACTTATTTGGCGCCTACTGTACACCGGATACCACACTAAGGGAGGGTATCTGAGAAAAGCATGACTCTGCCCCCATTTTATGTGGGGTGAGAGGGAACCTCAGGGAGACCAAAGTCCCTTCTCTCAACCGACAGAATCACTCATGCACGAAATGGGCATTTATTGAGCACCTACTGAGTGCCAGGCCCTTCTAAATCTCGAAAGTGTCCCCGCCCTCCCCAGCTCAGAGGTGAGGGGCATGGTTCCCTTCCTCTCACGGTGGGGAAACTGTGAGCGTGGGGATGCAGCCACCTCCAGTGTCACCTTCCTGGGTGTCACAGAGCTGGGGACGAGAACAGTGAGTCTGAGCTTCCTGAGCATGATTTTCAGGTGTATCTGACAGAGGCCCCGGGGGCTCGGACTTGTGGACTGACGCGTGGGCATGGCGCCCCGCATGGGGTCGCTGGGGGCCGGGGAGGCGGGGCTGCACGTGCGCATGCGCAGCATGTGCGTGGTGGGCA